AAAAACAAGAACAAAATGAGCAAGAATAGGAAGAAAGAAAGAAGAAATTAATTTAATATTTTTCCCTTGGAAAATAAAAGCTAAGTTCCAAAAATGTATCATTTGGATCATATTGGTTAGTTCTTAAGTTACTGTCTCTCTGATCTAAAGTCATCCTTCTTTTATTTTGTAAAGTTGGGACAGAAACTTTGAGAATTGTATTTCCCCTTTGTCAGTTAATTCTTGTTAAAATCTGCCAAAGACAGCTGCAGAAGAAGATTATAAAGCAGGAGGAAGACCAATATATTTTAGAAAGAAATAATATGGATAACAGCAGCAGTAGATAAACTAGGAAATAGAGGCAACAGAAAAATTCATTAAGCAAATAAAATAAATCTTTAAAAATATTAATAAAATCTGAAAACCTCTGGCACAACTGGTCAAGAAAAAAAGGGAAACCATAAAAAATTGAACTGAATAAAAGGAAGAGAGAAGTAGAGCTACAACAGAAATGAAGAAAGAATACTGAGGGTTTCTGCCTCAAGGAATGGCAGATGATTTAGCTCTTATGAATACTCTAACTCCCAATGGAAAATGGAGTAGAGACAAAGTAGAAATGTGGGATTATTGGAACATATAATAAAGAAAACTTCCAACATACACAAAATAGATTAGCATAATGAATCTTGAAAGAAGTCGGAACTTAAAACACTGGAGGAGAGAACACTACCACAGCTGCTGGTATTTCTGAGATGGCAAAATAAGGCTAGTTCTGGGAATACATAAAGAAGGTGGAAATTGGAACCAAATGTTTCTTAAATGTAAAAAGCCATTGCTAGGGTGAAGCTGACACAAACAGCCAGCTAACAGAAAGGAGCAAACAAAGTTGGAAAATATTCAAAATACATAATGCATAGTGATAGTGCAAGTGTGTGCCAAATGTGTCCTCATACACTGTTTATGGTAATATTAATAGTATACAATCTTTCTGAAGGCAATGTGTCAATATGTTTCAAAACCATAAAAATGTTCATACTGTTTCATAAGGTGATCCACATTTGGTAGTTTATTTAAAGACAAGATTCAGAGATGTGGCCCAAAATTTGCATTCCTAATGGTAATAAAATACATTCAACATGGAAATAGAGACCAAACAATTAACCTGAGCAAGGATTATGCCCAAATCACCTCCTCCAGGAAGCCTTCCAGACAATCTATAATGTGAAATAGCTACCTCATCTGCGAGCTCCCACTGTCCCCTGCACTTCCCCCTAATTCACCATGCTTACAGTACTCTGTAAGGTGACGGTTTGACTATTTCTCTTATCCCCACCTGATGGTGTGACCCTTGTGTCTTTATCTCTGTATCTTCAGCACCTGCTCAAAGAAGGATTCAATAAATATTAATTGAATGAATTGAGGAAAAAAAATAAGGAAAAAGGACATTTTTTCATGAAAAAGGCATTGATCTGTAGACATGACAAAAATGTGTAGGGGTAAATTCATAATTCTTTTAATTTAAAAAAATCAATAGCTGAGTCTTCCACTTTATGAACAATGTAAGGCCTGTGCTGAGTTTCTTTCATTCACTTTGCCAGATCCACACCACACCCTTCTCCACCCTGGTCTGTGCTACTGGAAACTGACCTGCATGGACTGTGTCTACTGAATCCCTTGCCCTCTAGATTCCATGAGGTTCTGTCAGTGGGAAGCCTGGTGGCAGATTGGGTTGATAGGAGAATGAGGTAAGACTGTTAATTTCCTTGCTCCCTGCCTGCTGGGTCATTGGGAATCATTTGGTCTCTCTTTGGGAAGCTTCAGCTCTGGTTGGGCAGTTATCTCCAAACAGCCACCCACTCTGTGCTACAGTATCTGCTCTCTCTCCTTGCTTCTTCAGGCCTAGAAATAATACTGTCTCTCAGGCCGGGTGCGGTGGCTCACGCCTGTAATCCCAGTACTTTGGGAGGCCGAGGTGGGCAGATCATGAGGTCAGGAATTTGAAACCAGCCTGGCCAGCACGGTGAAACCCCATCTATACTAAAAGTACAAAAATTAGCCAGGCATGGTGGTGCATGCCTGTAATCCCAGCTACTTGGGAGGCTGAGGCAGGAGAATCCCTTGTTCCCAGGAGGCGGAGGTTGCAGTGAGCCAGGATCGCGCCGCTGCTCTCCAGCCTGTGTGACAGAGTGAGACTCCTTCTCAAAAAAAAAAAAAAAAAAAAAAAAAAAAGAAAAAGAAAAAAAAAAGAAAAGAAAAGAAATAATACTGTCTCTCCATCTTGCTAGATCTGACATAGTTTGGTTTTCTAAACTCTGCCTGCAGGTTTGTACAAATGTCCTCTTCTCAAATTAGCTAGTTCGAATGGGCCCTCGGATTCTTGCCAGAACCCTGACTATTAAAAGGCCTTTGTTCACAATTCTGAATAAGATCTTGAAAAGGGGACAAATTTTATGGTTGACATTAGCATCCTCTAGTGTTTTTGTTTTTAATCCAAAGATGTAATAGTGGATATCAATAGGATCTTTTAAGGCAGTGTTACTTAGCAGAAATGTGCTAAGAGTTTTACTATGGGCAAGGGTTAATGCTTTTTAAAATCAATAATATAAACTATAGTTAGAAAATAGCATAAAACAAGCTGCTTCATAGCAGAAAAAAAAAGCTACAAACCAGGAAAAACATTATTATTGTCAGTTTTCTCTCCACAGCAATAATGCAATTTAATCTTAAAATTTTAAAGAACAATAAATATTAAGAATCACTAGACAATAGGTATCCTCATTATGCTAACCATTTTTATATCCTATACTTTCAGTGTTTAGAACAGAACCTTGTACATGAGTACTGAGAAACTATTTATTGAATTAACTAATCAGGAAGAATAGTGTAAACAAAACATAAAATATCATCTTGCATAAAAAGGAAGATTTTACACTGAGAATATGGAGTGACAATCTGGTTATTATATAACAATAAAGACATAAGTGACTAAAAGATGGACCCCAAAATAGTAAATACCCATAAATAAGTACATAAAAATGATCAATATGTACATAGACTAAAACTATTGGACTTGTATGAAAACAATAGATATCATTTATTAAGTGAATACATCTATTAAGTACTTCACATATACTATTAATAACTTCAATCCGCACATTCCTGTTATGTGGAGGTAATTAAGGAAGGTCTAGAAGGAGGTGATATCTGTGTTAACCCAGAAAGAAGGAACAGGAATTGTCCAAGAAGGTGAAAGGAGAAAGAAAGTTCCAGGTAGAACGCCAGCATGTGCAAAATCACAGAGACAAGAGAGCAGGATGCATTTCAGGAACTTCAGACATTTCAGTCCTGAAGAAGGGGTAAAAGTTGCCAGGAGACAAAGCAGGATTTTATCATGAAGACCATGGGAAGCCATTATTTCTACATAGAAATATCATTATCTAACATTTGTTTTAGGTGTGTCTATGGCAAAGCAGTGCAAAGACGATTGTTATTAAGACTAAAATGAATAATAAGGATAAGTAACAAATATACTATAAAGCACAGACACTTGTTCTTATCTTTCTTAGGTTGTTGCTACACTGCTTTTTGCACTCCTGCATTATTATACCAGTCTACATTCTCAGAAAAGTCACCTTTGGCTTTGTGCCCCCCAGTCAGCTGTTCAGTCTGTCTGGCAGATCTCCATTGGCACTTATACCAACCATATCTTTTGGAGTTGTACATCCTTTGTCTAATGCCCTAACAAGGCTCTACAGCCCTCACTGGGACAAGAGCACCACCTTGTGTTGCATCACTGACTGTTCACAATTCTCAACATGCTTTCTTTTTGTTTGAGCTAGAGCTACTTGTGGCTGAGGCCTTTGAAGCTTCCTCCCAGGAGTAGCATGGAATAGAAAATTGTTAACAAATATTTTTCCAAATATAACAAAAAGGGAGCCCAAGCCCTTTTTTCAACACAGTAAAAAATGTTAGACATGCCAATGTCTAACATTAGTATACTGGTTACTACATGCTGGAAAATGCTTAGCTTATGTCCTCTGAACTCTTGCTGTTTACTATTGCTTTTAACAGATTTATGCTTAAAAAATGTTTTTAATACAACTGAAATTATGATCTAGGAGCTAAAAGTCAGTTAAATGTAAACTTACCCTGTTCTGTCTTATAGAATCCCATAGTCAGTAAGTTTTTAAAAAGGATTCCAAGGAGTTCTTTGAAAGTACATTCCTTGATGTCTGCAAGCCTTTGCAAGCAGATAAACTATTTAAACTATTTTAAAAGCATTATTGGAGAAAGAAGTTTTCTTAAATTCCTGGAGAAGGACCATGCATAGATTATTTCTGCCTCCTCCTCCTTACACCACTCCACAGGCAGTTTTGCCTTGCTTTTCTATTTTCCTGGCTTTATTTCTTTCTCATATTTATTGCAAAATAAGCTCCAAATAAGTAGAAGTTTATTACTATTTTCTTAGAGCAGAAGCCAACATACTACCACTAAAAACGCCACTGAACACACATGATGAACATGCAATGCAAACTGAAAAATCCATTAATGTATTATTATTGTTCCTATTTCAAGATGGGAAACTGAAGGTCAAAGAGGATTATAGAAGTTCATACATCTAGTAAGTGGTACGGTCATTTCAAATCCAGGTCTCTTGGACTCAGAACTTATGACCAAAACTATTATGCTTTATTGTCTCTAACCATAGCATTCCAAATCATAAGCATATATTAATACCAAACATCTGTTAAGTATAATCCAAATTATGTGCCAATGTCAAAACTGCTACAAATTTGGAAAAAAAGTTGATCATTCAAAACTTACCGCAAAACTACAGTAACCAAGGTGGCTGGCAAGATGGCCGAATAAGAACAGCTCCAGTCTGCAGCTCCCAGCGAGATCAATGCAGAAGGTGGGTGATTTCTGCATTTCCAACTGAGGTACCTGGCTCATCTCATTGGGACTAAACAGTGGGCGCAGCCCACAGAGGGTGAGCCAAAGCAGGGTTGGGCGTCGCTTACCTGGGAAGCACAAGCGGTCGGGGAACTCCTTCGGAACTGGTTAACAGGCAGAGGCTGGAATAGTTGGGAGGACTCACAAGACATAAAAATGTGGGAAAGTTTGGAACTCCTAGAGATTTGTTGAATGGCTTTGACAAAAATGCTGACGATGATATGAACAGTAAGGTCCAGGCTGAGTTGGTCTCAGATGGAGATGAGGAACTTACTGGAAACTGGAGCAAAGGTGACTCTTGTTATGTTTTAGCAAAGAGACTGGAGGAATTTTGCCCCTGCCCTAGAGATTTGTGGGACTTTGAACTTGAGACATATGATTTAGAGTATCTTGCAGAATAAATTTCTAAGCAGCAAAGCATTCAACAGATGACTTGGATGATGTGAAAAGCATTCAGTTTTAAAAGGGAAACAGAGCTTAAAAGTTTGAAAAATCTGCAGCCTAACAATGCAATAGAACAGAAAATCCCATTTTCTGAGGAGAAAGTCAAGCCAGCTACAGAAATTTGCATAAGTAACGAGAAGCCAAATGTTAAAACCCAAGACAATGGGGAAAATGTCTCCAGGGTATGTCAGAGACCTTTGCAGCAGCCCCTCCCATCACAGACCTGGAGGTTTAGGAGGAAAAAATGGTTTCATGGGCAGGGCCCTGGGTCCCCATGCTATGTGTAGTCTAGGGACTTGGTGCCCTGTGTCCCAGCTGCTTCAGTCATGGCTGAAAGGGGCAACATAGAGCTTGAGCCATGTCTTCGGAGGGCACAAGCCCCAAGCATTAGCAGCCTCCACATGCTGTTGAGCCTGCAGGTGCACAGAAGTCAAGAACTGGGGTTTGGGAACCTCCACCTAGATTTCAGAAGACGTATGGGAATGCCTGAATGGCCAGGCAGAAGTTTGCTGCAGGGACAGTGCTCTCATGGAGAACCTCCGCTAGGGCAGTGCAGAAGAGAAATGTGGGGTTGGACCCTCTTGCATCGGTGTGACCTGGATGTGAGACCTGGAGTCAAAGGAGATAATTTTGGAGCTTTAAAATTTGCCCCGCTGGATTCTGGACTCACATGGGCCCTGTAACTGCTTTGTTTTGGCCAATTTCTCCCATTTGGAACTACAGTATTTACGCAATACCTGTACCCCCATTGTATCTAGAAAGTAACTAGCTTGCTTTTGATTTTACAGACTCATAGGCAGAAAGGACTTGTCTTGTCTCAGATGAGACTTTGAACTGTGGACTTTTGGGTTAATGCTAAAATGAGTTAAGACTTTGGGGGACTGTTGGGAAGGTGTGATTAGTTTTGAAACGTGAGGACATGAGATTTGGAGGGGTCAGGGGTGGAATGATACGGTTTGGCTCTGTGTCCCCACCCAAATCTCATCTTGAATTATACTCCCATAATTTCCACTTGCTGTGAGAGGGAGCCAGTGGGAGATAATTTGAATCATGGGGGTAGTTTCCCCCATGTTGCTCTTGTGGTACTGAATAAGTCTCATGAGATCTGATGGTTTTATCAGGGTTTTCCCTTTTACATCTTTGTCATTTTTCTCTTGCTGCCACCATGTAAGAAGTGCCTTTTATCTTTTGCCATGATTCTGAGGCCTCCCCAGCCATGTGGAACTGTAAGTCCAATTAAACCTCTTTTTCTTCCCAGTCTCAGGTATGTCTTTATCAGCAGCGTGAAAATGGACTAATACAAGAGCCCAATTTAAAAATGGGCAAAGGAAGTGACTAGATCATTCTCCAAAAAGGATATACAAATGGTCAATAAGCACATGAGAAGATGATCAACATTATTAGCCACTAGGGAAATGAAAATCAAAACCACCAGATGTCATTTTACATCCACTAAGATGACTACACTAAAAAAGATAGACAATAACAAATGTTAGCAAGAATGTGGAGATATTCAAATTCTCATATATTGTTCATGGTACTGTAAAATGGTGGTAGCCACTTTGGAAAATAGTCTGACAGTTTCTCAAAGGGTTAAACAGAGTTACCACATGATCCAGCAATTAGACTCCTAGGTATATACCCAAGGAAAATAAAAACGTATCTACAGAAAAACGCACACGCAAATGTTCACAGCAGCAGTATTCATAATAGCAAAAAGGAGAAATCACCCAAATGTCCATCAATTGATGAATGGATAAACAAAATGTAGTATAGTTATACAATGAAATATTGTTTAAAAATAAAAAGAAATGAAGTAATGATATGTGCCACTACATGCATAAACCTTGAAAACACGTTAAGTGAAAAACCTATCACAAAGGACCACATATTCCATGATTTCATTTATATGAATTTTCAAGAATGGAAAAATCACAGAAAGTAGATTGGCAGTTGCCTGATGCTGGAGAGGAAAAGGAGATTGTAGGGTGATGGTTAGGGAATGTGGGTTTTTTGGAGGGGGTAATGACAATGTACTAAAATTGCGTTGATGGATGCATAACTCTGTGAATATACTAAACACTCTTGAATTCTACACTTTAAGTGGGTGAATCATATGGCATGTGAGTTATATCTTAAAAAATCATAATAAATTTATATGTGATGGTCATTCAGGAATATTTTACTTTGCACACAGAAGCACAGGGGCACGTGGTGATGCTGAGACAAAATCTTAGGTCAGACATAAATATGAAAACTGCAAGTCTCTAAAGCCTCATGTAGCTGCTCCTCAGAAATGTATTTTAAGACATAATTGGTTTCAAAAACAAGAGAGTTAGTGAACAAACAAAAGAAAAGTATATAAAGTAGTAAAACTGCTGCAGATGTTACCTTGATGATATCAAAGACATAAGTTCATGGGAATAAGTCACTGCCATAGGCAAAGAGAACTTACTTTCAGGTTCCCTTTGCTGTGGTGAGCAGAGAGAAAAATCAATCAATGTTTTTGTGCCACAAATGAAGTATGGATAAATTTAGACACCTTTTAGCTTCTTTAAGCAGGCTTAAAATGACAAAAACCAATATATAGTCAAAAGATTACTTCTGGAGAAGCCCTACTCTTGAATTAATCTTTGGAAATTAAGAATTGCTAAGGAATATTGCCATTTGGGGGTAGGCATGTAATATTGTAATAATGAATTTCTTTTGAAAAATACCCATTTTTACTTAGAAGAACCATTCAGTAATTCAAGGCAAAAATTTCTTTTTTAATATTTAATTTTAATTTTTGTGGGTACATAGTAGGTGTATACATTTATGGGGTACATGAAATGTTTTAATGCAGGCATGAAATGTTTAATAATCACATCATGTAAAATGGGGTATCCATCCCCTCAAGCATTTATCCTTTGTGTTATAACAATCCAATTATACTCTTTTTATTATTTTTAATGTACTATCGAGTTATTACTGGCTATAAAAAGTAACCCTATTGTGCTATCAAATACTAGGTCTAACTCTTTCTATCTTTTCTGTACCCATTAACCATTGCCCCCAGTCTCCCCCTACCAAAATTGAGCTCAATTTTTAGTTTTCTGAGGAACCTTCAAACTGTTTCCCATAGTGGTTGTACTAATTTACATTCCCACCAACAGCGTACAAGGGTTTCCTTTTCTTCACCTCCTCGACAGCATTTGTTACTGTCAAGGCAAAAATTTCAAGGAATGTTGTGAAGACATATTTAGGTCAATTTCTTCAACATAAATTTTATACTTATGTTTTATTTTAAAGTTCATTTACAATTTATCTCTATAACGTCTATATATATTACTTATATGTTTATGAATTTTAGACTAAATTTTAATTGGAAATTATTTTTAAAATTTTATTGATGAATTCAATTATGATAACTTCATATACTAACCAGGTATTGCCAAATTATGATGCAGTAACAAAAATCCAGCTTCTCAGGACTTACAACAACAAACATCTTGTTACTTTACATGTCAGTAGGAGGTTGCCTGTGTGTTCCACCTTCTTTTCCATTTGTGATTTAGGTAGAGTAGTGAAGGGGTGGCCTGCCCCTCCACACCTGTGGGTGTTTCTCGTTAGGTGGAACGAGAGACTTGAGAAAAGAAATGAGACACAGAGACAAAGTATAGAGAAAGAAAAAGTGGGCCCAGGGGACCGGCGCTCGGCTTACAGAGGACCCACGCCAGCACTGGTCTCTGAGTTCCCTTAGTATTTATTGATAATTATCTTTACCATCTTAAAGATAAGGGAGTGGCTGGACAATAGGATTATTGTAGGGAGGAAATCAGCAGTAAGACATATGAACAAAAATCTCTGTGACATGAATAAGTTTAAAGGAAAATGCTGTGCCTTGAGATGCATATGCAAACATCTCCATAAACCTTTTAGCAGCATTGTTTCGGCCTATCACATGGGGAGAAACCTTGGACAATACCTAGCTTTCCTAGGCAGAGATCTCTGCGACCTTTGGCTGTGTACGTGTCCCTGGGTAGTTGAAATTAAGAGAATGGTGATGACTTTTAACCAGCAAGCTGCCTTCAGGCACTTGTTTAACAAAGACACATCCTGCACAGCCCAAAATCCATTAAACCTTGAGTCACCACAGCACATGTCTCTTGCAAGGACAAGGTTGGGGGTAGGGGCACAGATTAACAGCATCTCAAATACAGAACAAAATGGAGTCTCTTATGTCTACTTCTTTCTATATAGACACAGTAACAGGCTGATCTCTTCCTTTTCCCCACAGAGTAGCAGTCTTCATGTGGAACTTTGTCATTGTTGTGGCAGTGGGAAAAGAGAAGGCCGAACCACAGATGGCCCTTAGTGCTTCTGGTAATAGTAGACATCATTTCTGCTTAGATTCCACTGGCTAAAGCAAGTCATCTAGCAAAACCTGACATCACTAAACCTCTGAAGTGCACAGAAAAAAACACCACTGGTCAGTGAAGCCCGACATCACAGATGGAGAATTATCAGCCTTTCACAGAATAAACAGCAAACATGTAAAAACAGTAATCTGTCATCACCATGAATAATAGAGTCTGAAGGAAACATTAGAGATAATCTAATTCAATCTCATAAGTTTATAGATGAGAAATCAGAGGCCTAGAAAGAGAAAGTGATTTGCTGTAACTAATCAGGATGAAATATCTGATAAAGAGTCTCACACCATAGTAGAATTCACCTTTTTGTTTATAGGAACAATTGATAAGTGAAAAAGGAATAGGGGAGGCCAACTTAACTATGTGTCTGCACACACACCAAAACATACAAACATACATATACAGCAAGAGTAATAATTTTCAGCCAGCAAATTCATATTTAT